TGCTGCCGGAAGTACCATCGGAGCGACACTTGTGCTGTGGTCGTTAGCAGAGAAGGACGCAGGATCCCGAGTAGCTGCCGATTGACGAAGCCCGAATTAGAGAACTTAGCTGCCGCTCTTGGTGAGACGAACGTCGTCAAAGTATATTGTCGGCCGCCGGTTTCGTTGTCGGGCGGATCGCGTTAGTAAAGCCCCATCTACATAAGTCGCAAACGCACAACGCAAACGCAAACGCGGACGCAAAATGACGTTTCATCGATACGCATTCGCACGTCGCAAATCATGTCGCAAAGCTTTTGTCTACATTGCACGCAATCGCGTGCTCATCGAATTGTTTTACTGAACATATTCATGTAAATCGGCTAACCAATATTCATTGATCGAAGAGGAAGCACAATTAAAAGGCTCTCTCAGCACTTTTCGGTGTGGGTTTATTCTTATTTCTTTTTTCTTTAAAATGTCAAGTATATAATATAGTAAGTATGTTATTAATAGTAAATATATTAAATAATAAATTAGTGTAAACAAAAAAAAATATTTATAAAATATTTAATTTTTAAATAAAAAATATTAAAAAATAATTAAAAATATAAATAAATATTAAATTAATATAAAATAAATATAAATTTATATATATTTACTTTTTTATTTATATTATGTTAATATAAAAATATAAATAAATATTAAATTAATATATAAATTAAATAATTAAATTTATATATAAATATATATATATATATTTAATTTTTATTTTTAATTTTTTATTGCAGGATATAGAATTATTGTATAATATTTTATATATTTTGTATAGTGTAATGAAAAATGGATCAAAACAATCAAAACATTCGTTACTTGTTAATTTTGTTGCATTTTACTTTAAGTGCAACAGTAGTATATTTAGCCAAAATATGTTAAAAAGAATAAAACAAAGACGATGGTGGATTCGGCCAATAAATCGAACCCTCCAACAAGAAGGACACTATGATACAAAATTTACATATATGAAGGATAACGATCACGAAGAATTCTATGAATTCACTCGTATGTAGCCGCATAAATTTGACCAATTGGTTGATCTTGTCTCACCATTCTTGCCAAATCCACAAAATTGTAATCGAAAACCTCTGCCTGCGGCAGTGTCGCTTTAACGTTATCGTAAGAGAATTTATAAAGTATATAATAAAATTTTCCATTTGTGACATTTGTCAATTGCTATTTTTTATAGTTATCTTGCTCATGGAAATTCTGTGCGATCAGAATCATGGAACTATCGAATAGGGAGATCTACAACATATAAAATTATTCCTCAAGTAAGTCAGGCTATTTGGAATGCACTTCATCCTACATATCTTCCAGAAATGAATCAAGAAAAATGGATTAAAGTGGCTGAAGAATTTTATTTAAATTGGCAATTTCCCAACTGTATCAGAGCAATAGATGGAAAACACATTAAAATTAGTGCTCGGAAAAAGAACCGGGTAACAAGAAAAATTAAGAGCTGCCCGCCCGCCCGTCGTTCGTTGCACACGGGTGAGAACCGATTCCTCGGGTACCCGCGATAAATTATATCGCTGTTTTTTGTATCTGTTAAAAAATTGTCTGTCATACGTAGAATTTATAGCAGCAATATTCTAAGAATGTATGCAAGAAAATATAGGTCTCATAACCAAATATGATTGGAGTCTGGACTAATTAAACGTCATAAAGAAAGCTTTCTTGCTAAATTTGACAAATAGTTCAGATATAATTTCTGTCTCTCTTATCTATATATTAATTAAATACAAAACCTGTCTCTTATACACA